TTTTTTTTTTTTTTTAATATAAATATACGCGACGTAAGTAGCTTAAAAAATATTTACCCGTCCTTCGACACGGTACACCTTGTTCGGATATTTGAAATAATATCCTGCACAGTTGGTACATTGTTGGACGAATCGAATAGAAATGCATAATCGATGCAAACATCGCATTTACAAAATAAATGATCAGCTAATATACCGAATGTCTTGAATTTTCATTATTTGCTTCTGTTTTAAGTACGTTGGATTAACGGCGAAATGAAAAAAAAAGAAAAGAGAGAAGAAAAGAAAAAGAAGGAGAAGAAGAAGAAAAAAAATGTAGACACGCAGACATACTGTTTTCAAACACTTGTGAAACTACCGACGATAAATTTTCATGAATTTTACCATTTAGCCTTTAACGTCTTAACGCAAATTCTTCCCCGTCCGTTTTCGTTAAAAAAACTCTTACAAAGCGTAATTGAAAAACTGACCTTACTTCGACATCCTCGTCAAACGAGTTATACCGTCTTCCGTCTTCCGTCCGTGAGATCAACGCAATCACTCGATCAAAGATATCAAAACAAACCTCAAGTCACAATCACAATTTAAAACTAAAATTAGTAACTACGTAAGTACGTATTTTACAAATCTGTCATCGTCGCTCCTCGAAGAAGAAGAAGAAGAAGAAGAAGAAATTAGTCGCGTGCGTCACGCGTTTGCATCCAGTTCGCTGATTATTCGCGTCCAAGATTTTTACTTCCGGTTCAAACCGTGTCACACCGAGGTTAAACGAATGATTAGTCAACGTTACGCATCTTTTTGCGGCGGTGAACTGAAAAAAAAAAAAAGGAAAAAAAAGGAAAAAAAGGAAAAAAAAAAAAGAGCAGGGCAAAAAGCAACGAAAGAGGCAAAGTGCGGTATGGAAACAAGTGGTGTTGATCGATGAGTCAACGCGGGATTATTATTGTTTCGCGGGAAATATTTCGTGTTTTCCAACGAAAACTATAAACGAGGCGCGTGACGAATTCGTCCCGCTAATTTTTGCACGATTCGCGGTTATTTATGCAAATCAATCTAATTTAGCGTCGAGCCGTGGAAGGCGACTAGCCACGCATCATCGCGTAATGGCTGTCATTCGTTGATCTCTTCGATGGAAACGAGAGAGAATAGTCGGAATCGCGCATGCCGACTATCCACTGTTAAACGTTACGTCGATCGATTACGGTCGATCGTTTTGTCAAATAATATTGAAAAATGATGCGTGAAGGGAAAACATATTCATGTTTATTTTTGCGTCGCGGACGGCTTTTCTAAATATAGTAACTGACTTGTTCGTTAACAAACAGCGAACGTCATTGCATTTACCATCTTTCGGTGTTTTTTTTTTTTTTTTTTTTTTTTTAATGTTTATACTCTTATACACCGTTTCTTTGTTCTTTTTCTTCTTTTTCTTTCTTCCTTCAAAATTGCCAAAAAATAATCCAAAGTAAATACAACGTGTTAAAGCTGTACATCGATAATCGGAATTGAGAGATCGTAAAAATTTCGCAACGATCAATTTTA